TAAACTAAAAGTTCATTTTTAATTAGTTTTAATGAAGCTTTATTCCTGTCGTCCCGCCACTTTGCGTTCATAACAGAGAATACTCTTTCTGTAAATGCTGAAGTGGCCGGAACGGACAGCAAAAGTGACACTACTTTGAACAGATTTGGGAAATCAGGTTGTTCCGTAAATATGGCTTGTCATTTTTCTGTGCAATATTGATGATGATGTAAAAGTACTCAGAATTTCGAATAATCGCTTACAAAATTACGATGTTTACTTAAGGCCTTAAATAAAGTATTTTTGCGTACTGTATTCGTCTTGTAAAGTATAACGTACGCACAGTCGAAATAGAGTACAATATACTTTATAATGAAGTAGGGGTGGCAACCCTAATCAAAAGCCTTAAAATGCTATTAATTAAACTTCTACCTAAACATTTAATTTACCTTTAAATTTCTTTGTTGAAGTACAAAGTGCGTACTGCATCGTTAAAATTGTTAAAAATTAATTTATCCTATAACTATCACAGCCAGAAACCGCGTGTAAAGTTAATTAACTTTTAGGGGATCGCAACGCTCCAGTAAAACGAAAATTAAAATTAAAAATCTTTGAATCAATCACTAGCGTAATTATGCATATATACATAGTATATCTGTTGAGGAGGTCACGGTTGAACCTCGACTCGAAGGTGACTAAAACCGTTAGTTTTTTTGTCATTATTATCGCTCAACATCATTTTCCAAACACAAATGTTAAATTTCTCGTTACCAAAGTGATGTTCCATTACAACACACTATACCATTTAATCGCCCATTAGGACTAATTTGTTGGTGATGTCATCAAAGGTACTTATTAATTATTATTTATTGTTTATTATATCTTTTAGAGTTCGATAAAAAAGTTTAGTAGAAACGGAAAAAAAAAACTTTTGAATTTCTCAATAGATAGTGATATAAAGTGACTGTTTCTAAATTTTGTCATTTAGTCGTGTCACAATCAATCAAATCAAGAAAACAAAGTTAATGTTGTTTTAGGGTAAAGTATGAAAGGTGATTGGTACATTTATAGTACGTTATTACCAATGAAATGAGTGCGATGTGGAATATATAGAAATACGTAGTCTTGTAATACAGAAATCTTGTTTTACAATACAATTTTGGCATTTTGCCACTGGATTTTGGCTCTCAAAAGCTATAAAACTATTGGTTAGACTCCTTCGTTAATATCAAAATTCGATTTATTTGTATGTGAGTACTCGTTTTTCTGATTCACATATTAACAGTTTGCAATAGAAAATAGCGTAGTCTTGTAATACAGAAATCTTGTTTTACAATACAATTTTGGCATTTTGCCACTGGATTTTGGCTCTCAAAAGCTATAAAACTATTGTTTAGAGTCCTTCGTTAATATCGAAATTCGATTTATTTGTACGTGAGTACTCGTTTTTCTGATTCACATATTAACAGTTTGCAATAGAAAATAGCGGACACTTATTAATTATAATATTATAGAAAGTGCATCAATAAAGTATAAATTTAATAAAAAAGGTTTTATTTGATTGAATTAAATTTAGAGACTAAAAATATGGAGAAAACACCACTACTTCTTAATCTGTACATCGAAGAGGCGATCAACATCATTAAAGACAGTACAACTGTAGGGATAGATATACAGGTGCAAAAGATTAGTATGCTTAGATTTGCAGATGATATAGCAGTATTAGCATCTAGCAAGGAGGAGTTAGAGATAGCTTTAAATAAAATGGAAGCAGTATTGACAAAACTCTATTGTATGAAAATAAATAAAAGTAAAACAAAAATACTGGTATGCAAGGGAAGAAAGAGTAGGGAAAGAGTGAATATAAAGATAGAAGACGAAAAATTATAAGAAGTGGCTGATTTCAGGTATCTAGGAAGTCAGATAAGTCAGGACGGAAGGAGTAGTAGGGAAATAAAGCTGAAGATAGCGCAGCCATTGTATTTTGGCTCTAAAAATAGTTTTCAAGCTATAAAACTATTGTTTAGAGTCCTTCGTTAATATCAAAATTTGTATATATGTAAGTACTCGTTTTTCTGATTCACATATCAATAGTTTCCAATAGAAAATTTATCAAAAAATAATTAATTATCATATTACAAAAAGTGCATCAATAAAGTATAAATTTAATAAAAAAGGTTTTATTTGGTTGAATTAAATTTAAAGACTAAAAATATGGAGAAAACAGGATTTAGAACTTGTTTTGTTTATCTTCGGCGTTTCACACACTTACCTGTCTCTTTAAATACTCCTCAATCACTCACCGAAAGAAAAACATCGTAAACAATTTTCTGACCGGCTTCTCCATCCATTTCACTTAGAAAAGTCCATCTATTTATTTATACCTCCTACTTAAAACAAATTGCTGTATAAATCGATTGTTCAAAAAAGAAACGAAGACCTTGACTAAAACCAATACCCATTATTTATTTACTAAATCTACAAAGCGAATTTTCGTCCTAGAAGAAATCACGTTGGTGTTGCTGCTTTACTTCGGTACAGCAGCGTCCATTGAAAATTAATAAGATACGCAGCTCCACGTGCACGAACTGTAGGGTTTCTATCAAATGACAGAAAATACAAAAACTTCTATAATGTACCTGCATATTATTACGATTAAATTGTCATTTATAAAGTTTGTTTCGGTTACATCTACTTAATTCATTGTCTGGTGTATAAAGAGAAAGAGAAAGTTCATTTCCTTTCAACGCGTTCCAATCTCCACGCATGTACATGGATCCAAAACAAAATCATTTGGGAAATTCCAGGTTTCTACCAATATTGGCAGCCATATTAAACCAATACGATTGCGGAATTGTGTGCATGTTTATCTAAAAGGAACAACATGTTTAGTTTCTCTAGAGATGTGCCCCTTCCAATGTCTTGGATGCGCGCTGGTAAAATCGTAGATAGGGAGAAAAAAGCTCATTATACTCTCGACTCTTGTTCATTAAACATACTTTTTCATACAGTACCTGCCAAAAGTTTTGTTCAATCATGAATAGTAGTGCGAGTCGAAAACAAGCGTTAAAGCCTTTAATATGTCTTCAAATATAAATAAACATCTCGTTGATATTTTCAGTAGTAAATGGTACCAATAACAGCACATTTGAGCAATGCAATTGTAGTGGATAAAATGGTCAATTTTTCCGTGCAGTACTGTACGGATTATACGCTCCTCACCGGTTAAGAGTTTGGCCGAGAGTTGTCTCCTTCCTTTTCTGGCCTAGTGCTGTTCTTTTCTACTTTGCGCCGGTCAAACTGAAGGTCACATCGCTACAGAAACTAAACGAAGTATAGTTTCCTCCATTTCAACTGGCTAATGAGATTTAAGTGTAAACTAACATTTTATAAATCCTCATGAACTTCATCAAGGGTATGGAGATTAGGTCAAGAATTATGTTAAGATGATCAGGCTAGGAGACTAATGCTTTTTAATGTGATATGGCGAGGAGTATAGTGTTTTATGAGGTGGAAATATGGGAATGAGAGGAAAAAAAGCAGATAGAGGTTTTATATAAATGATATATCAAGCAGGTACTGCAATTAGAGTGGAGTATTCCAGATTATATAATAAGAAAGGAGACTAAATGTGGGAAGATGTGATAAAAAGGAAAGTAAAATATGAGGAGATGCTGGAGAGGCCAGAGGAAGAGGATATCAGGAAGGAAATATGGAGGAAAAAGGTATTACAAATTGGGACGAAAAACAAATCTGATAGAGAGAGGGAGGGGAATTTGAAGAGATTAAAACTCAATCAGGAGCAGGTGAGAGAGTGATTGAGGAATTGGATAAATGTAGGGGAATTGAAGAGGAACAGTTACAATTAAATTATTAGGGGATAAATGTTAGGAAAAATAGAGTTAAAGATTTTATGGAGGGACAGGCAAGGGAATTGGGTACCAAAGTATTTAGAATGAGGGAATGATATAAGCATTATACCAAGATTTAGGACAGGAAAGAATTTGTAAAAGGAAGAAAACAGACGCTACTGAGTATGAGTCAAGGAGGTAGAATGTCTACAACATGTGTTAGGATGATATTTGGTAAAAAAAACACTTTTTGAAAACTTTCACTTAATTTTTATTAAATTCTTAACAAGTTTCGACCTACAAGGCCATCTTCAGAAGAAGGATTAATGATGGACTAATCTGAAGATGGCCTTGTAGA